CTGTCGCCACATCTACGGTAGTCTCAGATCCTTTGAGGATGAGCGTGGCTGATATGGCGCAGATCACCTTCCCCGCGTCGCTGATCACGGTGCCTTCTTCCAGCGCACTGTTGAGTTCCTCGCCTGCTGCTGCAGAAATCCATTCTTTAGCCAAGTCCGGTTCGATCGCTCGCACAGTTGTTCCAGAGGGCTACGTCTGTCCCACTCTCTCTTTGGCAACCCTGGCATGATCCCATCGTCTTCTGTCAGGCCAGTTGGTCGTCGGCCGAGATCGTCTCCGCTGCTCACTTCATTCGCTGCTCTTGCTCAAGGTATCTTTAGGGGTCTCCAAATTATGGGCAATATTTGTTGTTTTTCTTGGTCCTAATTTCGTTTCTTGGATGTCCTAGAAACAACCTACTTGCTCATGGAGATCTTATTGTAAAATATGTGCCTCTTATTCTTCCGCCGGCGGATATAATTACTAAGATTTTTTTTGTCAGTTTGCAATTTTATTTTTTAAATTAAAAGACAACCTGCGCGTTGTATCTCCCACACATTTTGAGGGGTGTAATAGCCTAATATATTTAGGAATCTGCCTAATATTTATTTAGGAAACTACCTAATATATATTTAGAAATACTTTGTATTTTGGCAACTCTTCTATTATAAATATATCTGTCATAGCTCATGTTGAAGTACCATTTCCCATTATTTCACACCTCATACTCTTTGTAATTCCTTTTTTCTTTAATAAATTGGTGGAATGTTCCCCGACCCCACCCCAAAACTCCTCCGACCTTTCGACCTTACCGAGTTAAAAAAAATTGTCATAAAATTTACAAAAACTGTCAAATTGTATTGTTAAAGAACCCTCGGTCAATTGCACTTGTTTAAGGATGATCTCCCGCCGGAGATGATCTATTTCAAGAGATTTGTATGCTTAAAAAGAACAACAATAACTCAATAAGGGTACCTAAGCTTGTTGTATACCCTTTATTGGTTTGGATGAATGTTTTCTTAAATGGCCATTTGGAGAAATATTAACCGACATCATAACTATTTACCTACCACTAAATAGATATAAATGAGATTATACGAATGTACAAGTCGATAATTAAAATACGTTAATAATTAGTAAATTATGTATACTTATTACTATAATGTGTAATAAAGAAGTATTATAACTAGTAGTGTGTATAAGCTTATACCCAAAAAATTATTATTAGGGAAAAGGTATGAATATATCACTACTAGTCTACTACGACAATTATATATTGATATTATCACTGTTATTAGGAAAAAGGTATGAATATATCATTTTACTATGGGTGTTAGGACAAATATATCTTGTTCTATTTTTGGAACAAACATACCCCCTAAAGTTTATGGGAAGTGCATAAACCCTGAGCTTTTAAAAAGTGCAAAAATACCACTCATGTTTATATAAATGAGCAGATTTACCCTTATTGACTAAGATAAAATAAATTTCAAAAAACACCAAGGTAAATTATAAATTTGAAGTTGAAAAATAAAAAAATTAAAAAACTACTTGTGCCCAATTCTCCATTTTATTATTTTTATATCACAATTTAATACTGTATGTATAAACTATTATTTCAATTTTTTTTTATTCTCGGGAAAAGTGTTAACATATGTGTTGCAATGTAAAAAAATCATAAATTTTTTATATTCTTTGCACTATAAAATTACATATTTTGTATGATGATTAATAGTTCAAGATTACAAAATAGTGAATTTTATTTTATTAATATTAAACAAAATCAAAGAATGTTATTTAAAAAAAATGTAACAATGTGTTCAAAAATTTGCAATAAGACGAAAAGTAATATTTATGAATTTGAAGCGATTCATTTACAACAGAAAAATAATGATTTTTCAATTTAAAATTAAAGAGTTGATATTTTAACATAAAAAATGATTTGTTTCAACACTTTAATTTTTTATTTCTCAATTACATTTAATTTTTTTAATGTTTTTATAATTTATTTTACTTGTTTAACGTGAAGAAGGGTTCATTTGCTCCTTTATAGGAACATCCGGAGTACTTTTGCACATTTCAAAAGTTCAGGGGTATATATGCACTTCCACATAAACTTCAGGGGTATATTTGTTCAGGGGTACTTTTATATATTTTTTCTTACATCCATACTACATGAGTATATTTGTACATTTTCCCTTGTTATTATCATTACTACTCCATCCGTCCCTGTTTTATCTCCCATTTCGGCTGGGCACACTTACTAAGATAGTGAGTTTTGTGTGGTGGAGAGTTGTGCAGAGGAGAGAGAAATGTGTAAGAATGTGTAAGAATGATTGTGAACCACAAATTCTTTGCTAAAAAGGGAAGGAGGAGATAATTTTGGGACGGACGAAAAAGGAAAGTTTTAAGATAATTCAGGGACGGAGGGAGTATTATTTATTATTTATTTATTTATTTATTTTTATTTTTAAATTTTTTAAAAGTGGTTCTGAACTGCTTCCTCAAAAGCTGAAGAACCAAACTGCTACTTAGAACCTTCGGTTCCGAACCGTAAGGCTACCCCGATTCCAGTTCAAAAACCGCCGCTTTCCATTGAACCGGAAACTGAGGATATGCTTAATGCTAAGTGTATTTTATAGATGATGGTGAAATACAGCGAAAACATTATTATTGGAGTCTAAGCACAATTTTTATATCGACGAATTGAAGTCCATATTTAAGTTTTTAGACTCCGCATCGCTTCAAATACTTCATCAGAACTCGAAAATATTAAGTACATTTGTTTTATAATTGCATATATCCAATTACATTTTTTATCATAATTTTCAATTGGTTTTTATTTGTTAATTGAATATCTCAAATTAAAAATTTAACATATTTTTAATTATTTGAGAAAGAAGTAATACATTCTAAATGAACAAGTAATATACAAGTTAAAATAGTACATCTAAGAACTTAAAATCTACACTTTTTTTACCCAGTAGAAGTCCAAAAAACCATAATGGTTAATTGTTTTTTGGTGTAGCGTTAAAGGAATACCTTACCAATTTAATAGAACTGAAACAGTACAAAAAGTAAGAGAGCCAAACCAAAGCCTACACATAATCAAATAACATACAAGAAACTAATAACATCTTGAGAATTCCCACAAAATGTTTAAAATATTGAATTTTGGTTTTAACGGGTATGCTCTTGTAAGCAACATACTCAGCCGCACTGTTGAGAACTTGGTGGGTAAAAGTGATCGTTGAGTTGTAGCTTTTAAGCTTTCTTTTAATAGCTTGAATACGAGTCCAATGTGACTAGGTGAAGTCCTTGATAGATATACCTGTTAGACATTAGAAAAATTCTAAAGGTACACACTTTTTGGTGTACACACTTTTTACACATGTCTGTGTAAATTTTTTTTTATGTCTGTACAGACATAACGTATTTTTAGGTGCAAGTCCAACTCTAGACATTATGAATCTCCTTGCCAATTGCCATCTACCTCTAGAATGATATTGATTAGGTGCAAGTCTTTGATGGTGTTTAGGCCATCTACAACGGTTTACACCATTTTGTACATTGAAATGGTGTAAATATCACATCATACAGTATTTTATCTCCAACAGTTTACACCATTTTCATTACAAAAAAGGAATATTCCTTTTTTATTCTTTTTACCAACTTTTTACCATTCTTCTATTTACGTATCTAATTATCATATATTTATACATTAGCCCCTCATTTAATATTTTTACATTTCACACATTATTTCACACATACAAACTAAAATACACCACTTTAATATGTATTTTCACTCATTTCACTAATTAAAATACAAAATTCAATATTTCACAAATACAAGCTAAAACCACATAAAATTAAATATCACAATAATATTATAATAAAAAATAAAAAGTTTATATTTTGCATATTTAAAATGAGAGGAACTTAACAATACTTTTTTTGAATTAAATTTATAATACATTAATAAATTAAATAGAATCGAAGTAGAACACACGAATAGCACAAAAATTCCAATGTTGCATTTAAAATAGATCGAAGGTAGTATTTTTTTATTTCCTACCAAATTAATAATTTATATTTGTTCTATAATTTGTTGTTCTAAAAATGGGTCAAAATTATAAGAATCAAAACTTTGGGTAACATTTGAAATAAAAAAAATTGAAAAAAGAAGATGGTGTATGAAATGGTGTACACCATATTTGGTGTAAAGCAAAACCCTCTCCACCAAATTGGTGAAATGGTGAAAGAAATGGTGTTGTTATTGGAGCAAAAATTTGACAAATACACCATTTTGACGTATGAAATGGTGATTGTTGGAGAAGCTCTTAGAAGGTCGATGATGGCATCATAAGATGCAAGAGTAACATTGACTTGGTTGGAAGATCAAGTCTTGTGATAGATGCAGAGCCCGTTTGGTAGCATGAAAATCGGTTTATTTGGTTGATTTTGCTGAAATTTATAAAGTTCTAGCTGAATTGGCTGCATTGGCTGATTATTTAAGAAAATTTTATTTTTAAAATATATTTTATTAATAAAATCTAGGAAAAATTATATGTAAAAATAGCTAAAATGGTCATCTACATTAACTTCAGCCAATACAGCCAGAAAATTAATTTCACCCTTACTTTTTCTGCTTATTACACAATTTAGCACGTGAAAACAAAAATTACGTGTTTGGTGAAAAAATTGGCTGATAAGTCTGATAAGCTGAAAAAACATGTTGCCAAACGGCCTCATAGTTACCATCTTACGGAGTATATATTTTACGTGAGTATATACTCCGTATTTTTTTGGTAGATTCTATGGTACTCATAAGTTACCATACCTTTATCCATATGGACCAATGAAAGTGTTGCAGTTGAATTATTTAAGTCTAAATTAAAAATGATATACCTATTTGGACTAATTAAATGAATAGTAGGTACGATATTTCATTTTTTAAATGGGTAACGGAATTGTCACCTAGTTTGAAAAAATATTAGGATTTTGGAACTACCAAAAACCTCCCCTCTATGCGTATGTTTTAAATAAACAACACCTTCTGGGCACATACTTGTGCTCCGAGTCTCCGACAGTCCCCAGAGTCTAAAAATTTCTCCTTCCACTTCCTCCCGCCGCCGCCGTTGCTATGGGCAAAGGCGCCGCCCTCTCCGAAGGCGTAGTGAAGAAGATAGTCCTCTCGTATACCTACGTCTCCGTATGGATCTTCCTGTCCTTCACCGTCATTGTCTACAACAAATACATCCTCGACCGGAAACTCTACAACTGGCCGTTTCCGATCTCCCTCACGATGATCCACATGGCCTTCTGCTCCTCCCTCGCCTTTTTCCTCGTCCGCGTCGTCAAAGTCGTCGAGCTCCCCGGCGCCCTCTCCCGTCACGTGTACCTCACGTGCATCCTCCCCATCGGCGCCCTCTACTCCCTCTCCCTCTGGTTTTCCAACTCCGCCTACATCTATCTCTCCGTCTCCTTCATCCAGATGCTCAAGGCTCTCATGCCGGTTGCAGTGTATACTATCGGAATCCTGTTTAAGAAGGATCCGTACAAGCCTTCCACCATGATGAACATGGTTTCGATCTCGATCGGGGTTGCAATTGCGGCGTACGGAGAGGCTAAGTACGACTCATGGGGTGTATTTCTGCAATTAATGGCGGTGGCTTTCGAGGCCACCAGACTTGTTATGATTCAGATCTTGCTCACCTCAAAGGGGATTAGCCTAAACCCTATTACATCCTTATACTATGTCGCTCCCAGCTGCTTTGTTTTCCTCTGTATCCCTTGGATTTTTGTCGAATTGCCCGTTTTGAAGCAAAATTCGAACTTCGGATTCGATTTGATGATTTTCGGGAGCAATTCGCTATGTGCATTTGCTCTGAACTTGGCTGTGTTCTTGCTTGTGGGCAAAACATCAGCTCTGACCATGAATGTGGCTGGTGTGGTAAAAGATTGGCTCCTAATTGCATTTTCTTGGTCTGTGATAAAGGACTACAGAGATTTCCAAAAGTTAGAGGTTCGAATTCTATGCATTAGGTGCTCTGGACTACCTTCTAGAGTATGGGTATGGATTATGGCATATGGTTCAAATTTATGTATTTGCGTTAAGTAGAGTTAGCTATGCCTATGTATGGCATAGCTAAATTTCTCCCTGCATTCTATCTCCTAAGACATAGTTATGTTTTGTACCTCATATATCAGGATAAACAAATGGATAATGTCTCCATAACGAGAAGTAATAGATGCATAAATGTTTCAAAGTAATTATAAAGTACTGATTAACCTAATTACCAAACCATTACATTTTAATGATCGGATAAGATTGACTGTCAAGCTCGCGAAGTCGGAGGTTGGATTCATCCTTAGCTTAAGACCTAAAACCGTGGCACAAGTTAACAAGCCATTAAAAATAAGCGACCGAGAGAAGCATTGTAGACACCAATGCATATGGAGAGGAATAGATGGGAAATTGAAGTAGAAAGCACAAAAGCCCATGGTGATCATGATGAGTTTTGCTTTGAGGATTAGCGATGAAATAATGTGGTTGGAATTTCCATTTGGCGAATACTAGGCTTTGAGACTACATGTGACACAATGACACAACAATTTCAATCAAAACTATTTGATCTCTTACCATTGTTGTAGATAATTTGGGAGAAATTGGAGCTGGCAAGGTGGCAATGCTTGTTGCCTGACACCCGAATACATCCCTTTGTGGACTTGAGGTCCGACTCGTTCCAGTCGCACATTTGTGCCTCTTTGGCGGCACAACAACATGGTGGCTCTGCAGCCTCGGCTCATGCCCGGCAAACTTGAATGCGGAAAGAAACAAAGAAACATAGGCATTTAACGATATGTCTGTTAATAGATCGGGTCGGAGTAAAGATTAACGTTAAATAATTGCAAATCGACTAATTGAGGCTAGTGGGTGTTTGTACTAAAACGATTCTGTTCATTTGGGTGTTTGCAAATCTGTTCATTGCAATAAGCATTCATCTCCAACATTGCAATCTGTTCTATTCAATATGTAATCAGCTCGAGACCCTAGCAATTAGTCGTTCCCAAGCCGCAAATAAGGAGCGCAAGATACTGGGGCGTATACATTTACAACTTTGCTTTGTGTATATACACGCAGGCTTGTACATGCCAGTGTACACGTCGGGTTTTTTGTAAAGAGAGTTGTGTGTGCTATTGACAATTTTTTATGTCTATGACACCGAAAAAAATATTCGTTTACATGCAATTATCTTTACAAAATAAAAAATACTCCGTAATAATCTATGCACAAACAAAAACTCAACCTATACAAAGAGCAATTTCCATACATTTATTGGCATAGGAAAGGGTGCAATTATTTACTGGTTCCGTGACATATACTGATATACATATACTCTGTATTTTCTTACACAGTTACACTCACCTCAATTCAGTGTTTGAATGGTACAACCTAAGTTGTTCGGTTGTAATTAACCGTGACAGCTCAACTACTTTCTGCTTGCACTTTATGTTATTTCTCTTGCATTTAAATGCTTTCGCCGTTACACAATAAGATCCTACTCCGTAACATACATTCATTGAGAAGTGTTCATGTCCAGCACTTTTCTGTCCGAACGTCGTTCGAACATCGCCGTTTGGGGTGGTTCCCGGTGGATTTTTTTGATATTTTTTGTGATTATGTTACTCATCAAGTCTAGTTTATCCATACCAAATTTCAGATCAAAATTCGATCGGGAAGATAGTCAAATAATTTGTTGAAGTTAACTGCGCCAAATTAAACATAGAAAAACACAAATACCTTCAACAAATTATTTGGCTGTCTTCCCGATCGAGTTTTGATGTGAAATTTGGTATGGATAAACTAGAGTTGATGAGTAACATGCTCAAAAAATTTCATAAAACAATTACACCGGAAACCGCCCCAAACGGCGATGTTCGGACGGCCTGCGGACAGAAAAGTGCTGGACAAGAGCACTTATATATACACACACACTTGTAAAGCCAATAAAGAGAGTTACTTGAACTAAAAGTTCATAAAGTGATTACAATCAAACCAAAAACTTAATCATGAAACGGAGGGATCCATATATATAAAGGTTCTCGTTTCTATTTTAGAAAATAATTAATACCTTTAAATGACAATTTAATTATCAAGTATGAAAAACAACACATCTATGACATTACAGTTATCATCAATGACCTCATTATATTATATAACTATCAAAATCATTTCTCACAACATTCGTGTGCGCGAGCGACCTGCGGACACGAATGTTGGACAGTTTATGGACGATTCAATGCCTAACGGACTAGTCATTGATGTCCAACGTTCAGGTCCATTAACACTTCATTTAACACACAACACATCCTCCTATAAATGGCTGGCAGATGGTTTGCAACAAGACAACACACAATACATTCCTCACGTATTTTTGAGCTCTAAAACACTTCCAGCTACTCCGAAAATTCCCTTGTGTTCTGCCTTTGTTCCCGTTCGCCGGAACTCTCGTTTGTGTGCTCAAACGTAATTAGTTCGTTAGCCACCGTATCCTGGGAAACGGTCGTTGCAACGCTCCTAGCACCGTGGGAGGCGACGAATACGTTTTAAGGACATCGTGCTACTGGCTAAACCCTGTTCCATCTTATTTCTGGTTTTCTTTAGCTATTTTTATTATTAATTAATTTTATTTAATTAATATTTCTTGGTTTTTCCGAGACACACCCAACAACGTGTTACTACCAATCAGGAAAGTAATTTTGATGATATTTTTGATGAAAAATTCTTAGTGTACATGAGTTGTACAAAATGTGTACACAAAACCCCTAGTTATCTGTGTACACAGATAATTCGTTTGAAAAAAAGCAGAATTTTATGCCAAAACTTCCTAAATTCTTGTGTAAACAGACAATGTTTCTGAAAGAAGTTCCACCTTTCCTTTTCGGGTAGTTCCAAAATAAAGTTCCACTTTATATATTTGGAAAGTTTTTCCAATCCATTTACTATTTTACCCCCATATCCCTTTTCCATATTTTCCCCATTGACCACTCCCTATTTTCTACCCCCTACGCACCTCACCTCCATCTCTCCTTTGTCGGCGTCTCTCTCCCCCCTTCTGCAACCCTCCATTCCCCCGCCTCCACCCTCCTCCGTCCCCACCGTTCCTAAACCCCTTCCGTCGTTACCCCCTGCAGCTCCCCCTACGCTACCCCTCAAAACTCCTTCCATCACAACCCCTCTCTGAAACCCTTCTTCTCTGAAACCCATCTATCGCTAAATCTGAAACCCACCGGCGTCTACCACTTCCCCGGTGCATGGATCCATCTCACCCGAAATCGTCTCCACCTTTACATGGACTTGACAAACCCTCATCTCCAAAGCTAGATCCGCAAGTTTCGTCCCCTATTTCAGAATTTTGTGTTGTGCGGTTTGGAAGTCAGGATTCGTCTGAATCTGATCCCGACTGGTGGATCCGGAAGAAATATGGTTCAAATCTCGTTTCTGATACCTACAATGGATTACAAGGTTTCGAGGATTCCGAAGGAGAAGAGGTCAATTCGGGAGTGGTGATGGATGGACTGTCGGACAAGGAAGAGGAAGGCAGCGTGGGGCTGCATGCAGAGGATGGCAGCGACGGCGAGGAATAAGAGGAAGGCAGGAAGGGGCTAGATTCATACGACAAGAATGAAGGAAAAGGGTAGTACTCATCTTAAACCCTTTTTCATTTTAGTGCACTGATTTTGTGTGATGTATGTGTTGCATATGTGTTGCCCGTATATGTGTGATGTCAGTGCATATGTGTTGTAATGTGAAATGTGATGCCAATGCATATGTGTAGTAACCTGAAATGTGTGGTGATGATATGGTGAACCCCATTTCGAACTGATGATGATAGGGGCCTTATTGTGTTGCTTTATGGTAGATTCCAATCTTGCATTTGACTTGCATACATTACCAAAAATCACCATTTTCTTACATTTGGGCAAAAATTAAACTGGTGTACACTATGTTGGTCAATACATACTGCATTGTATTGTCTGCCAACTACTATGTGCTTACAAAAATGTGCACTACTAAAGTACTACCAAAAATATGTGCACTATGACAAAAACTTAACTGAATTCAATGCAATCTGATAGTTCAAGTGTGAAGATGTGGTACATCTTCAAACATGAACTCATGCCTGTCCATTGCTGCCTATCTTGTGGTAGTTGCCACATGTGCCATTGCTGTCTCATATAGTTCTTGAGAGATTTGCACATTGTTTGGTAGCTGCCCCTGCCTGTGTAATCTGTCCTTACCCATGTGCTTCAATTTGAAATTGTTTCCACCATTCTGTGTAATCACCTGTTCCATTACACATTGATAGCTTAAGAATACCTTGTTGAGTGTTGTTGGTGTCAGCTCATTATATGATGTTGTCACTGCATGTATTAAGTCAGTGATGGTTTTTGGAGCTTTCTGATCTTTAATGGCATCTATTGCCCTGAAAAATCCCAAGTCCAAGACATTAAGGTCTGGACTATTAGGTGGTTGACATGTCAATTGGATATTCCATCCTTCCTTAGTCCCTTCTCTCACAAAATCAGGATCATTAATGTCAATATGAGGCCTTGCATTGTCCTGTTGAATAATAACTCTCCTGTTGTCTGCATCTGGCCATGTCTGTTTTATTGCTGGCAATAGTTCATTCAGTATCATCTCTTTGATGACTAAACGTGTAATGCTTACTGATGCCTTTGTCTCTAGTGTTCCTGCTGGTCTGTTTTTACTGCTTCTTTTGGCTGTGTCTTCATAAGTGAAAGGAAAGATCCCCACTTTCCCATCCCACAATACTTCCCCATTGTCCCTCAGTCTTGGTCTCCCCACAGCTGCTAAGAACATGATTTTTGGTATGAATTTTTTTGACTGAGCAGTCCTGTAGGGGTCCTCTTCAGTGGGAGTGGTGTAGAAAGTGGTGGTTTCTTTGGACAAATAAAACCACTTCTCATCTATGTGTATGGTATCATAGAAGTCATGAAATGTAGGGGTAGAGGGCAGTGAGATAGGAGTAATGTGTTTCAAGCAAAAGAGTAACCTCTTTAGCTTTCCCAAATCACTTAATAGGGGTCTGATTGCATTGGAGTGCCTTTTCAGTTGTTTCCTTTTAACCCACCTGTGTACTGTGGTCTGTGACACACCCATGGCAAAGGTCAAAGCCCTCATGTTTTTTCTTTGGTGATATGGAATGTCTGCCACTTTTTGCAAGTCAA